ATTAAACTGGTGACCTTAGACAAGTTAATCTTCTACGGGTTCACATTCCTTATCTGTAAAAACAAGACAATAACACCTACTCAAAAGGTTGTTTTCAGCATTAAATAAGGTAATATATGCAAAGCACTCAAAGTTTTTAGGGGAATGTATAAGTAAAATATAAGAACAAGGAAGTCCATAACAAAATAATAACAAATTAGATTTTCTTGCAAACATGGACAAATCACAAAAACATTATATGTTTGGAAAAAGAAAGGAGATCTTGTGGTATAGTGGTTAAAAGCATTCAGCTACTAGCCAAAAGGTCATTGGTTAGAACCCACCAACTGCTCCATGTGAGAAAGATGAGGCAGTCTGCCTCCATAAAGATTTACAGCCTGGGAAACCCTATGGGGGCAGTTCTACTCTGTCCTAAAATGTTGCTATGAGTCAGAATTGACTCAATGGCAGTCATTTGGTGGAAAAACAAATAAAAAATTGGATTTATAGTACAATACTGTGTATGTACATTTTAAAGCATACCAGAAATACTGTATTTTCAAAGATACATATATTTCTAAATAGACATGAAAGAAATAAATATATGAAAGGATACACGTATGTGTGAATATATAGAGAGAAAGAGAGAGAATACACTAAAGAGGATGCCATGGAGAAGAGGGGAGGAAGTGGGGATGGAGAGAGATGAAGGGAAATAATAAAACAAAATAAAGAAGGACCTAGCCCCAAACAAAGGAGCTCTGGTAGCATAGTGCCTAAGGCACTTGACCGCTAACCAGAAGGCTGGCGGTTCAAACCCACCAGCCACTCTTCGGAAGGAAGGTTGGGCATTCCTACTTCCGTAGTGATACTGCCTCGGAAACCCAAGGAGGGGTCGCTATGAGTCAGGGCCGACTCGATGGCAAATAACAACAACAAAAACAACAGCCCTGAACAATGGTGCTAACTTTTGAGGAATATGTTTAACTCAATTCTGAACCCAAGATTCCATAAGATCATGTTTAAGTAACTATAAATCAATTGACATCACACATATTTTTGATAAGTAATAATTAGCAGCTAAAGGGTATGCATTTTTCTCATAGTACAGATAGTAGGAAAATTCTTTCAAGAGTCTCATTTAGTCCATATATTTAGACATACAAAAACATAGATGTGGTTTTCAGAGCATAAACTAAAGCCCAAAGAGGGAAAGAAAACTTTTTAAAGCCAGCCATCTCGTTAGTGCTTGTCTGTACATGGCAGCCATGGAGCTGGACCATAGCCACAGACCCTTCCAAAGAAACTAATTCAGTCCCAGAACCTACTGCTGGAGTGAGTGAGGTGGGGCTGGGGAAAATGATAAACAACCCTAGGTGGCCATGTCTTACATGACACATGACCACTGATTAGAGCTGGAGCAGGCCCCTGACCCAAGAGTCTCTTTCACTAGACCTGGCAGAAAACGTGTGCTGCCTGTTCCTCTACACACAGAGAGAGTAATGCTATCATAATGATTCTATAGGCTGGCTGGGGACTTTATCACAAGCTCAGATCTTCTTACTGAATGGTCCCAGAAGAATTAGATCTCAAGTGAGAGAGAAATACAGCAGCTGTTTATGGAAGCCAGGAACTGCCTGCTATACCCAGTCTGCAAACAACTACTTATTTGACTCTTTTACATTTAACTTTTCTGGATGTCATTTTTTTCATCTCCAGAATAATGTTAGTATTGATCATGTCCCACTCACAGAGAAGTAGAGGTAATCACAGACACTCGCAGATATAAAAACATAAAAAAATACAAAGGGGTATTATTAAGGGCAGAGTAGTTTTTATTCATATGGATTTATTTAACAATTGCAATCCCCATGTTACTACAGCAAAGAAAATTGTTAGTTGTGTGTTTTAACCACCATGACAGGAATATACCACAAATGGGTGGTTTAACAAATAGTTTATTCTCTTACAGTGTTGGAGGCTATGAGTCTGAGTTCAAAGTGCCAGGCTCTAGGGGCTGGGTGAAAACCCCTCGACCTTGGGCTTCAGCTCTGCCTCTTGCTCCTGGCCCACTGGAGCTAGGCTGTCTCTTCACTTGGACAGCTGCTAGCTGCTGAGGCTAATAAGCCCAAGGTCGACAAATAAAAATGGCACAGTCCCAATATTACCAAACAACATGACAGGCCATTTGTTCAAGTCCATTAAGAGTCCCAAGATCGGCAGACAAGATGGCAGGTTGGTGAACAACAATTCAGCAACATGCAGGATTTAAGTGTACCAAAAGCTCCAGACCATTCCCAAAACTTCTCCTTGTACACTGGAAGCAGCCAACGTCCCTAAAGCAACTACTCAGCTGCTCATGGAAGATTTCCCCATGGAGCTGATTGCCAGTCTCATCATGGGGAATAACTATAACCAGCTGCCTAGCTACTCAAAACCAGGCCGAACCAAGCTGACACATAACTACCACTTTGTATTATAAGGGAAGGAGTTTCTGAATAATTCAACTTTTATATTCATGAATTCATGAGGAGTTTTAGATGACAAAAGGTGGATAGCCATGGGTTTGGTTATAGATTCAAGGACTCTGTATTAGCAAATTCTAACATGAGAAGTTTGGGGAGGTGTTATTGAGGAGGCCAAGTAAATAATCTGGGGGAGCAGTGTAGGGTAATGGACTCAGAAGACATGGATGTGGACCCTGAATCTACCACTGACCTACATGGAGGTTTAAAAAAAAAAGACAAAACAGCTTTACATGTCTGCTCTCAGTTTCTCAGTTACAAATAAGTCTAATGTCACTGTTCCATGGGATTGTTGGGAGGAATCCATAAAATACTGAGTGTAGAAAGTCCTGGTACAGTGTAGATGTCTTTGAAGAAAAGTTACATGATTCTGGGCTTTCAGACAGGAGTTCCCAAGGACACTTGGACCCGAGGCACTTTAATATGGATCTTAGATGGGCCTGGAGCATGGTCAGCAGTAAGCACGCAGTATTATGATATGACTCAAAATTGTGTCATATAGCAATAAAATATTTTAGAAAATGAAAAAAAAAAAATGCCACGACTCAAATATAAAGCAAAGTAAACTATGGCATAATTATTTTGAGCATTTGGTAGAGAACAAGAAAAGAGCATTCATTTTTCTTGATGTTTGAAAGCTTCTCCTAGGAGCAGCAGAAGTGATACTTTTTTTTCCTTACATATCCAATCACACTAGTTAGTTTGCAGAAAATGGCATGTGTGTCATCATAATAGAGAAATCCCATTTACTATTTTCAGAATCAACCCATAGACAAAGTACAGAAGACTTAACTAGAGCAGCAAGAGTTGTTAAATCAATGGGGGTGATTTTAAAATATGGGGTGAAAAGGAGGATGGAAGAAAGAATGATGCAATAAATTCTTCATCTTTACTCAGTGAGACTCCAGATTTACTCACTCAATTATTGAAACAAAGAAATAGAGATGCAAATATATTATTTAAAGATATAAAGATAACCCATAGAAGATCTAAACACAATAATATAATAAAGTTTATGTGAGGGAAATTCATTATCTTCCAGAGCAGGAAGTCAATACATGGTATCTAAAATTGATGATGATAATAGCAGCCATAATAACAGCTAACATTATTTAGCTTTTCCTGTATGCTGAGCACCGCTCTATGCCTTTTACAATTATTAACGTATCTAATACTCAAAATAGCACTATGACGTAGGCATATTTTTTCCATGCTACAGAGAAGGAAACTGAAGCACACAGTGGTTGGATAACTTGTCCAAGGTCACACAACTAGAAGGTAACACGGCCATGAGCTTGGACACATTTGTAACAGTACTGTTGGAAATAAAAAAAAAAAAGTCAATATAATATATTGATGATATGCAATATATTAATAGCCTCTGAGCAGAGATGGTAAAAACTAAAGTGGAGAGAAAGACTTTTAGTTCTCATTTAATACCATTCTAATTAGGCAATTTTTTTTTACCATATGCCTGAATAATTATATAATATTATTATACAATTATGTATTATTTATATTTTATAATTGTATAATATTATATAACCCATCAGCCACTCTGCAGAAGGAAGATGGGACAATCCGTAAGGATGCACCACCTCAGAAACCCAATGGGTGTTGCTATGAGTTGACTTGATGGCATGAGTTTGGTTTACTTTTATATATATATAATTATACAAGGTGCTCCGGTGGCACTGTGCTTAAGGCATTTGACTGCTAACCAGAAAGTTGGCAGTTCAAACCCACCAGCCATTCCCCAGAAGGAAGATGGGGCAATCTACTCTAAAGATTTATCACCTTGGAAACCCAATGGGGGTCACTATGAGTCAGAATTGACTCGATGGCAGGGAATTTGGTTTTTGTGCGTTTTTTTTTTTTTTAAATAATTATATAATAAGAAGGAAACTGTATCAATATGCAGTCTGAAGGAATGGTCTGTATCAAGAGCAGATTTATCATCTTCCAAATTCTGAGTGTCTTTTATAAGAAGAAGGGATTAGAATTGTAGTAACTGTATGGAAGGGATAAAACGAAGACCAATGTGGGGAAGGTACGGGGGTGAGAATATGATCCAAAAAGAGAATTAACAGATGGAGCTGTCCGATTATAGAGCCTCACACAGAAAAATGGATGACCACGTGATGTGTATGTGCTAGAGGAGACTTTAGCATTAGATGGGAATTAGAATAGATGCTGTCTAGGTTGCTTCCAAATTTGAAAGTCTATGTGTTTCTTATGCTCACAAGAATTTCCAAATATGAGCCAGAATTAATTTGAATAAGAATACAAGCTTAAGGCTCAGGTTCATAAAATTTATAAGAAGAAAGTAGATCTCCAAGGAGAATCAACCAGGTACAGGATTTCTGAAAACAAGCCTTAGATGTAGACCCAGGAATATAAATCTAACTTGTACCACAGAGAGAAAGAATCTGTCCTGCAATTCTGGAATTATTTCTTAATTTCATTCTTCTTAGAACAATAGTCTACATTGAACGTATGGCCAAGAATAATCTCACCACAGTAACTGGGTTCATCCTCATGGGCTTTACCAACAACCCTAAGTTGAAGATTCCCTTCTTCATGGTGTTTCTGAGTTTTTATCTAGTCACCCTTCTGGGGAATGTAGGGATGGTCATTCTGATCCAAGTAAATGTCCAACTCCACACTCCAATGTACTTCTTCCTTAGTCATCTTTCCATCTTGGATGCCTGCTATACCTCAGTCATCACTCCTCAGATCCTGACCACACTGGCCACAGGCAAGACAGCCATCTCTTATGGCCAATGTACTACCCAGTTCTTTTTCTTCACCGTTTGTGCAGCTACAGAGTGTTTCCTGCTGGCAGTAATGGCCTTTGACCGCTATATTGCCATTAGCAACCCACTGCTCTACACTGTGGTCATGAATCCAAGACTTTGCTGGAGTTTGGTGGCAGGAGCGTACATCTGTGGTATGTCAGGGGCCATACTACGTACCACATGTACCTTCACCCTCTCCTTCTGTGATGACAATCAGATCAACTTCTTCTTCTGTGACCTCCCACCCCTGCTAAAGCTCTCCTGCAGTGACACAACACACACTGAGATTGTCATTGTCTTCTTTGGCAACTTCGTGATCTTGATCAATGCTTTAGTCATCCTTATTTCCTACCTGCTCATCATCAAGGCCATCATGAGTATGAAGTCTTCAGGTGGCAGGGCCAAGACTTTCTCCACATGTATCTCCCACCTTACTGCTGTGGGTATCTTCTTTGGGACCCTCATGTTTATGTATCTATGGACTGGATCAGGCAAATCCCTGGAAGAAGACAAGGTTGTTTCTGTTTTCTACACTGTGGTCATCCCCATGCTGAACCCTCTGATCTACAGTTTGAGAAATAAGGATGTAAAAGTTGCCTTCAAAAAAATCATTGGCACAGCCAGCTACCAAGAGGGACCGAGTAGTTGAACCTGTGGGCTCAGGACCATAGTCACAGGGGACATCAAGCTCAATTGGCATAACATAGTACACAAAACATTGTTCCACCTCCTACTTTGGCAAGTAGCGACTGGGGTCTTAAAAGCTTGCAAACTGCCATCTAGATGCAACAATGGGTCTCTCCTT